GTGTTAGCCTAAAATGACATTATGGTGTGCTTAAAAGTTTCAACAACAAGACAACCAATTAAAAAAAAAAAAAAGATTGGATTAGTGGACTTTGTTAATTCTGTGCATCATTGGCTCTTTTCCACCTTTACTAACAAAAGTCCTAGGTACCATGTGTTTGTCATTGTGGGCTCCTCCTCCAAGTTTGTAATGCCAGTAGAGGTTGTTGATATTGAAGCAAGACAACTTGAAGCAAGTTGAAAAGGGGTTTGGTAGTCTTCTTCTTTTCACTTACACACATCAAGAAAAGACATTACACTGCAGACCTTCTACTGGCTGTCATCAAAGCTTTCTATGAATTAATGAACCAAAACACTGAAGGTTAGAAATCCAGCTGTAGCCGGGTTTGATTCTCTACTCTTTATTTTGAAGTGTCCTTGAACCCCAAATTGCTCCTGATGTGTGTATGTGGGGAAAAAACTGTAACTGGCTTTGGAAAAAAGCATCTGCCAACTGAATGAAATGCAGCACCATTAGGCTCCCCACCACTCATTGAGAACACACAGTCTTGCATCCTGATTCAGTCATTTTCATGCAGGTGCACTTAAAGACATTGACAGTCCAATTAAATGGATGTATCATCAGGATAAAGAACTTGAGCCTTGGTCACTTAGGACTCACACCTCATGTCAAACTGTCTGGTCTTCTGTCATTGTGTAGTCATCAGATAACTTTGCATTCTTCTACTTTGTGCTGTTTCATCAGTACTGAACCACTGCCAGGTCCACCGAATCGCCACTGTTGTTTACCAGTGTTACAGTGATATCATTGGCCCTGACTCTGTCACCATGGAGACCTACAAGCCTGCACTAACCAAGCTTGGGAAGTCCATACAGGTGAGGTGCTTTTCTTTTTATATCTGAAGAGGCTTTCGAAAAGGTCAGAGTGGTCAGAAAGAGGAATAGAGCAGATGCTCCACTCATTTAAAGTTTGGCAGATATCTAAAGTGAATGAAAGATGCACACAATGACTAACATCTTGAAAGAATTGTCAACACTGAGTTGTGCTTCTGGTTCTTGGCTGGTGCCAGTGCCAGTTTGGCGCTGGTTCAGCTTGGAGAAAAATCCAGTCAGAGGAGGGATTCAGAACAGTAGTACGTCATTGTTGAATTTGTGAGGAAAGTGCTGTTATTAGCGCCGCACATAACAGAGTTAGCTCTGTGATTGGATGTTTCTTGGCCAAATGCACCTTGGGCATCATAGTTAATCTACTCCCATGACGTTTTTATGTACGATTGTACCATCAACTTTTTATTAAAAAAACAAATACTTTCAAATGCGGAGAGTTTTATGCCGAGCAAAATTGTAGAACTTCTCCAAACAGTGAATCATGGAACGTTGACAATGGAGAAAATGACCATTCATTCATCAAGTTTTGTTTTCATATCACAGATTGAGTTGTGGCCAGAACTGTAACAAGCTTTGACACATAGTGCAATAATCCTGCTCTTCCTATTATGTAGCACCTTAGGAGTCGCGAGCAGCCATGATCAAGGGGTCAGGGCTTTAGGGGGAAGTCTCATTTTCAGCAAATGATGCAATATGTATCAGATGAATTCATCAACATCCTCAATAATCATAAAATAAATTATATTTATGTTGCACTTTTTCGAAACAAAGTTAAAGGCGTTCAAAGAAGCTATTTGTAAGTTTTGCTATTGCTACATAGCCAATGTTCATTCCTTTACTTGCCAAGAGTTGTCTCCAGTGTCTGGAAAGCAACTCAAAAGTCTTTTCTTCCACTAAAGTTAGCATGCTAATCAGCTAGCCACGGCCCAGTTAGACTGTCTTGTCACTTTCCAATACCAGTTACTGTATGCCCTGAAGAGGTAGCGCTGCTCAGAGTCCATATTATAACCTCTTGCATTGTAAATGCAATGACGCTTGCTAAGACTGGTAAGTAAACAGCTGTTAATGCTAATGCTGACTATGCTGCAATTGCAAAACTTAGAAATAGCTCCTTTAAACACAAAACCACTATGTAAAATATAGTTGGCAACACCTACTGATGCATGCTCTTGCAACTGCCCAACGTACACAGGTTAGTATGTGCGACTTGCCTCTACATCAGTTCATTTGATCTCATGGAAGTCCAGAGTTTTCAGAGTACTTGAACGCTACCCAATGTGGTGATGGGGAAATGACTGAGGCCTTATTAAATCACTATTAATACATACCTGAAGTGTTATCCCATTAAACTGATTTTTAAGATTTTAATCCCTTGCATTTTTTTCTCTCCTCAGTTGGCATCGTCTCCAAGCACAGACGTCCTTCGTAAGTTTGTCAAAACCACCGACATCCAGAGTAATCTTTATATCTGAAAATGGCCATTTTGCACACTGAGCGGTGCAAATTAATTCTATTTTCCTCTCATAAAATACTGTCATTTTTTAATAAAGAAATTAAGTAAACAAAGCCTTTCTTTAGTGGTTTAATGTTTTACATAACTGTTCTACTGAATTTATACTGATATCCCTCCATCAATGAGAGGTCCTATTATTTTCTAAAGCAAGGGGAATTATGTACCTTTACCATCGAACACTTTGGTCCAGAGTGAAATGTCAATTATTGGATGCATTGCTATGAAATGCAGTAGGATAAACTGTATAACGTGTGGCACCACCAACAGATCAACATTTTGAACTTTGGTTTAAGACCAAATACCTACAAAACTAATTGAATTCCAAGGCTTTTAGTCTTTCTTTTTTTTTTCTGAATATGAAATTAAATGTCTTATACTGATCACCTATCATATTCTGCAAACAGGAAGACAGATCTTGTCACATAAATGACATAATTTTGTTGATATTACATATTCTTACTGTCAACAGATCCATGTAAAGACCAAAACCAAAACAATAAATGTATCCTGTCTGTGTCATCGAAGGCCTGACACAGTATATCTTATTCCTTTGTGATATAGAGCTCAGTTGTTGTCAACAAACTATTACAAACACATCAGTGAGACACATCATTACGTTGGATGACATGCTTTGCAGATTCAACCACACAAACTCCATCTTTCTGCTATAAACTTATTAGAGCATAAAATGTGTATCCATCTGCAGCTGAAAGAAGTCCTGAACAAATGCACTCTTCACTCCTGTTTGAGTCATGTTTGCTGAAAACTAGTATCTGGCTGTTTTAGAAACATATATTGCCTCTTTGACCTGGTTTTTAAGATTTGTATGTTCAGTATGAACAAATGGCCTGGGGTCAGAAGTCAAAAAGTGTTAAGAGATGGACCAACATTTGGTGTTTTCATGGGATTTGTCAAAAAATCCCCAAAACAAAAATACAGAATATCACCAGCCTTATCCTTTTTAGAATGACGCACATTGAGAATTTCCTGTCTCTGGTGTTACATTTAAATTATGTGTTGTGTTAGCATCACTGATATTCAGGAGGACTATTCAGCATAGGAATGGAAAGCATTTTATCAGTATACATACCTAATATTTCAGTTGTGTTCATGTTTCTAGTTCTAGTGATCTCCAGCCAGCTACAATACAGTGAGGTATTGTGGCAATAATGAACCCAGAGTAGTACAAAGACAGTACACCTGAATAGTCTGTCTCTCCCCATTCAGCTGAGTGTCAACTCTGAGGGCCATCTTTTGAGTCCACTAGTGGTTACAGTGCAGTCTGTTATTACAGGTTTGCCATTGCATAAGGTTTACAAAAGGTGTAGAGCACGCACATCCAATACTTTGATTCAAATGTAAAGGACAAAAAATAATTATCAAGAAGAAACTATTAAAAAAATACATAGAAAAAGTAAAAAAATAATATTACTACCCAGTGTGAAGATCTTTTGTCTGACTTTTACCTTCAATGAGCAAGGATCAAACGGGTCAGGCACAAAAAGAGGTGGAAAAAAGTACAAAAGTATTGGAAAAATAAAGTTAAAATACCAAAAATAAAAATACTCATTACGCAGAATGGTCAATTTCAGAATCATATGATATTATTGGATTATAATACGCATTAATGTGTGCATCACTTTAACAGTGCAGCTGGTAGAGGAGCTGATTTTAATGACTATATACTGCTGGGTATTTTGTGCGTTTGTGCAAAGTCCTATTTATATCTATAACAATACATAATTTATTAGTTTATTATATGTTATTTTATTCATCTATCTGTAAAGTAACTACTGTTGCCAGTTAAATGTGTAGTGCAGTAAAAAACAATGTTTCACTGAAATGTAGTTGAGTAGAAGTAGGCATACAAAGTAACAGAAAATGGAAATACTAAAGGAAAGTACAAGTACCTTAAATCTGTACTTAAGTACAGTACTTGAGTACTTTGTTACATTCTACCACTGGTATTCACGAGTCAAAACATTGACAAGTTCAGTGGAGCTTGTTCACACCACAGAGCCAAACTGTAGACACAACAAAAACAAAAAATTACCTAAACAAATGAACTAATAAAGACAAAACAAAACATAACAAAAAAATTAAATAAATCAATTATGGTTGTGCTCTGTGAGAAACCCCAAGTTTGTTCATTAAACTGTCTGTCTATGAGAGAAGGTTCTGATGTGACGGGCATTAATTTATAATTCCATGTGTGTTATGTTATAGTTCTGGTGTCTTTAGTATTGTTCTACAATGTAGGAAATTATCAAAATAAAGAAAAACATGTAAATGGGTAGGTATGTCCAAACTTTTGACTGGTACTGTATATGTGTTGCACTTTTTTTTCACCTACTGGCCTGTACAAAATAGTTATATGTTTATGTTTATTTATCTTTGCCCAGCCACCTCAAAAGTCAAATTCCTTGTATGCACAAACATAATTGACCTTTAAAGCTGATTCTCATTAGGCATAGTGATTTCTCACAGTGTCTCCTCCTGTCCTGGTGGGGGCAGTAATGCGCCAGTGAGCTGTTTGGCCAACGCCAGAAAGTAAAAGAAGACGAAATGAGCGAAACTCAAACAGACTTGTTGACATTTACTTTGCCGAAACGAACGTGTCAGGGATTTGTCTTTTACTATCCATTTCTTCACGTTTAAACAATTAACGAATAGCGTGCATAACACAGTCGAAGAAGCGAACCGAGAAGATATTTTAACTGTAAGTTAGCAGGATTTTACGTTCGTCTGGTTAGCGGGGCTAGCTATGAGTGCTAGCCGGGTTATAGCCTCGAAAAACGGCAGAAATAAATCTTCAGTTCGCCGGAGCAGGGAGCACCAAGCCTCCAAAGCTAACAAGGTGCTGGCTGAGAGGAACCAGGCGGTGGTGGCAGTGGGAGCCTGGGTGGAGAACGGACAAGACTTCCTGGAGCACCCGTGTGTAAGTTTGGGATTTAACGCTAATGCCCAGATCTAGTTTATACTGGGTTGCCAGGCACCTCAGAGACCGTTACTGGAGATGGTCAGAAAGCCTGCAGGTTTTAGGAGGAGACGGGGTTTATTCAGTTTAACCCTTGTGTTTTGTTGACATGGGCTTTTCTTTGTTCCAGTGCTGTTTGTGTAAAAGTAGTAATTGCCAAATGAGCAGTCCAGCCCGAAACTATTTTTTAAATTGATACTCCGCATTTGGGGAAGTGTTGAAGTGATAACCCTTCCTTTGCAAACAAAATAGCGTAATCTCAAGCTAGTCTCTACCCATACCTTTAGAATCTCAAATTCAAAAGGTTGGGTATTATAAATGCTTTTGAACTGGCTGGACAATAAATTCACTTTCAAGACTCATTTGGATTAACAAGCAAACCTGAAGGTCACAGCTGGATTTTTGCATAGACACTTGATTATCTTTGGAAGACATACATGCAATTTACAATTATGTCTGTTCTTGACTATGGTGATATCGTTTTTATCCACTGCACACTATCACAAGTGATACATTCCTCATTCAACATTGTATCTTATATTAAAGGTGGGATCAACAGAGGGGAATTGCATTGTATGTTGTTTACAGTGGCTTCAAAAAATATTTAGACCTCTTCACTTTTTACACAGGATGTGGGTTTAATTTTAAGTGGATAAAATTGCCAATTTTGAAAGTTTTGATTTATTAAATATCAAAACCTGAAATGTCTAATTTACAAAAGTGTTCATCCCCTATACTATGGCACTCTGTGGCAGAGGTGCATCTTAATTTTCCTTGAAAAGTGTCTAGAACTTGATAGGTGTCCAACTGTGGCAAATTGAATTTATGAGACATACAGTTTACAGACACGTCCAATCTATTCTGACAGATCTCTAGAGGACCTGCCAGCGAAAATGGGATAAACTGCTCAAATCCAGGTGTGCAGAGCTTGTAGAGACTTACCCTAGAAGACTCGAAGATGTAATTGCTGATGTGGGCTCCTACAAAGAACAGAATTAAAGCTCTGAGTACTTTTACAAATGAAAGATTTCATCTATTTATTTTTAATAAATTTGCAAAAAATCTTAGAAAGATGGTTTCAGTTTGTCACCATGGGTTGTTGAGTGTAGATTGATTGGCAACAATGGCAATTTTATCCATTTAAAATTAGATCTACAACACAATAAAGGGCAGAGAATTGAATTTGACTCACTACTTTTTCAAGCGACTATTTATAAGGCCCTACTGCAAACACTACCTCATTACCTCTGCGTTCTGCTCTGATGTAATTACAGTACTTACAATGTCAGGTCACAGGCTATATTAACATCAGCTTAACCACATGTTCAAACTAAGCTGGGAAAAACTGGTTTCAGACACTAAGCCAGCTCAATTTCAAATAGAATTAGGTCCAAAAACAACTTGAAACCCCATTGTTGTAATTTTGAAATGAATGTGTCTGAAATGTTTGTCACTATTCATAACTCTCAGGAGAAAAAGCAGGCACTTTGGAGGGGTTGAATCTCCAAAATCATATGAATTGAGACCGCTGATTGTTCTTTAAGTAGTCCTAACAGTCTTCCCATGTCTTGATTTAGGCTCTTGCTTTGTTAACTGAGGAGCTCCAGGCAGAAAGGAGGAGGGAGAATGAAGAGAGCCTTCGACGATTTCAAGATGAAGTGCGCCACCGTGTGGCACAGCGAACCCAGGTCTTCAAGAAGAGACAGCAGCCTCAAAAAGAGCCATTGGTAAAGATAACATTATTGGGACTGATAGTTAAGTATTTATGGGATAATATTAACTAAAAAAAATCCATCAGGGGAGAGGACTAGAGTGTCTTTTATGTATTTTTTTTTTTATTAACTTATTAAACATTTAGTCTGTAAAGTGTCAGAAAAAGGCTAGTGAAAATGCCCATTACTATTTCCAAGTTCTTTCAACTGCTTTGTCCAACCAACAATCCAAAACTTAAAGATATTCAGTTTAGATTGATGTAAAACAGAGAAACGGAGCAAATACTCATATTAAAAATGATGTGGATTCAGTTTTCACATGTTGCTATTGACCCTATGTGATTGATACCTTCATTGCAAAACTGTGCTTTTATGTTCAGGTGAAACCTAACAGGAGAATCCCACAAGAACAGTATCGAGTCTGGACCCACCATGTGTCTGCTGGTCAGAAGATGATGTCTGAGGGAGGTGCTGCGCGACAAAGGATGATGGAGGGGAGCTGTCAGAAGGTGAGACAGTTTTACATAGCACTGCCACTCTGAAGCATGAGTAAATAATTGAAGCTTTAGCAAATTAATATCATGTTTTGTTTACTGTTTTGATGAATGCATCTTCCAGAAAACTACTGAATATATACTTGGTTTTATCTTTATCTTTTTATTTTCTTTCACTGATTTTAATTGTACCTGACTAGTGTCCCCCACATTCACAATTGAAAGGTAGAGCTGAACATTATGGCTGAAATCAATATCACAATATACACCAAGTGGCCAAAGCATACGGGCATATGTACCTTTGCTTACTTTTATCTTTGTGGCAACAGTTTGGGGAAGCCCCTTTCTTTTGTTAACATGACAATGACCCTGTGCACAACCTCAGAAAGAAATGCTTTTCTCAGTTTGATGTGAAAGAACTTGACTTGCCAGCACAAAGACCTGACCTCAGCCCCATTCAGCACCTCCGGGATGAGCTTTATCACCCAACATCACTTTCTGACCTCAGTACTGCTTTTGGTGTCTGAATGGAAGCAAATCCTTGCAGTAAGGTTGAATAGTATAGCAGACAGACTGAAACCAAAAGAGGAGAAGGTGTTACTGTATAGCAGCAAATTAATGCCTGTGCTTTTAGAAACATGTTTAGCTATCGCATATAGGTGTAATGTTTGGCTGATAAATAACCATAAATTGCATCTCACAAATGTTAAAGATATATTTGGTAAATAGAAACATTGCATAATTTATCCTCCAGACAGCACAGTGCAAACTATTTGATAACCAGATTTGAGAGATATTTATCAAAATGTTTAGTTTACATTATGAATTTATTTTGATAAGTTAATATCAGGTGATGTTATCACATTTTTAAAAAATGGAACATAGAAATATTGTTTTCAGCTCCAAACATCTAGTATTGCGGTCGCTCCCTTATTTTTTGTTGTGGATTAAAGGCTGCCCAGGGACTGAGAGAGACTGCTGAGGATCATGCTGCAGGCTCACATGTGTCCTCTTTCATCCCCTTGTGATGTACACTCAACCTTATGTGGTCCTATTTTCTTCAGTACAGTTTGTGGAACTCTGCAGTGTGTGCTCTTTTTTGCAGTGAGGATGATTCCATTGTTTCCTTGTGTGACTGATAAAATAATGTGACAGTGATTAATCTGGAGGCTTATTTATTTCCACCATTTTCCAGTCTAGTGAAGGCATGAGGCAGGTCAGACTCAGGCTGGCTGCCTGTCGGATGATCCCGCATGGGGAAATGACGTCAGACCTTCCTGGAGGCAAATGGAACATCTCTCCAACCGGTCATGTGAGCTTCTGTGTCTCACACTAGTTCCTCTTTTTAAAAATGTTTAGTACTTATAATGTATAATGTGTGTTGTTGCACATTCAAGGTATAATAAAAATAATTTTCTTCTGCACCCAACAGAAAGCTTCATCTCACACGCTGAGAGCAGAGCGGGAAGTGGAAGAGGAGGAGGAGGAAGATGTTCAGGGAGAGGAAGAAGAGGAAGAGGGAGATGATCATTTCTTCACCAGTCAACATGAATGTCCCCTCGTTCAACAGAAGGTTAATGAATATGCAGGATGTAGCCGTAGCACCTTTTTATTATTGTTCACTCTGTGTTCCATGTTGATGGCTTTCAGTGAGAAAACTCCCAAAGCTCATTGAAGCCAGACACTTTAAACATTTCTTGTGACGTGATAGTTGATGGGAAATCTGGCAAGTAAAGAGTTAAGGAATTACTTAAAAGCTTTGTGGTGGGAGTGCCATGTTTCTGCCTGTGTGGTGTTTGTTTATGCCAAACATAGCATTTAGTATGGCCAAATAATAACCAAACTCGGATATTCTTCACTTGGCTCTTGTCAACTCATAAAACCTAATAGTTAAAACATTATGGCTATGATATTGCCCTAAAAAAGCTGACAGAGTCTTATTACAAGGGTGAAACTGGAGCACATAAGTTTATAGTGCGAGTTGTGACTGATGACATCATGGAAGTATACAAGGTAATGATAAATGTATCTTCATAACTTCCATTTCCTTCTGACATCTTGTGATTCACAGGTCCAGTTTACTAACAGGGAACAACAACAGTATACAGTGTAGTTTATTTCTGGCTTCATTCAGCTACACCATAACCCAGATGTAGATTAGTTGATAATGTTTAGGTGTAGTTTTTGCCAGAAAGTTGATTAACCAGATTTTACGCCTTCCAGGAACAGTTGATTGTGAATGTATTATGAAACCTCAAAAATCAGTAGCCTGCACCAGAGATGATTTAGATTTAGTAAAGGGGGTGGATGGTTATTCAATTTATTCTTTTGTGATCTGTATAATATTTGATCACATAGCAGTTTCTGCAGCTCAACTCGCTATATGTCCTGCCTACTTCACAAGGATTGGCCAATCTTAACCCCAACCATGACCATACTCATAATCCTTACCATCCATAAACTGCAGCCAAAGCATCTGGGTAACATAAAGGAAAAGGCTGCTGATGTTCTATATATTTGTTTCTGTCAACAAATCCCACAAGAAAACCAAAACCAGCAAAATGTTAGTCAGTCTCTTAATACTTTCAGACTTTAATACATTATCTGCAGCGCTCAGGCCCAAGCCCATTGGTTCTCACTGAATAAACGGCTCACAAATAGTTTCATTAATAAATGTGCAGTCATTTCCCAAAACTGCTGGGCACTGTAGTTTTTAACAAACATTACTCAAATGGGAGCAAATAGTGGGGATGGAGTATTTAGAGCAGCAAGACAGTGTATGCTGAACTGACTCAAAATAAACTGTAGTGGTTGTTCATAGTCATAAAGGAACATGTAACCTTGTGCAACAGTGTGGCTCACTGATGTATTTTTTTAAAATTGTTTTCGTACATCAATGGAGCTCAATGGCACAGAGGAATAAGCCGTATCAGGCTTTGCCTTCACAGATTATACTTGTTAGCGGTTAGGGTTACTTCTTTTATGTGATGTTCATAAGAGAAATATGGAATATCACTGGACTTAACCTTTAACATTTACACTAATAAAGTGGTAAGCTTGAAGATATAACAAAAATATTTTTGATTTAAATTAGTGCAGTTTGCAGCTTGGTACATTCATACTGGTTGAAGCTGGTCACCAATCAAAACCTCCTGACTCTGTTCTGACTGTGTATATGTTTCAGGTTAGTGGATGTGTGTTGTGGGATACTGACAAATCACAGCCCGATCCTGGTTTTAAGTTCAACCTTAGAGACCCACAGGTCCTGTGGCCTCTGGATGACCAAGAAGAACTGAAAAGACAAGTAAATATCAGACATCCTCATAAAGCTTTGACTTTATTTGTTGAAACTCTGTCAAACCAGATGTTAAAGATCGCATATCTCTTTTGCAGCGTCAGTCTCAGTTCCTGATGCATCGCCGTCAGTTCATGAACATTGAGAGAGAACGAGTGAAGGAGAACAAGCAGCACAGGAAACACCTAAAGAGAACAGCAAGGTGACGAGACCACAGCATTTTCTTCTGTATCACTTCCTCTTGTCACTTTAAACAGAATGATCTCATGCCCAAAGCAGCTTGAATTCAGCTCAGTGTAATTCATTAAAACATTCAACAGTAGTGATGAGTATTACTTGATTATTATTTTGCCAAAATATGGCCCATTACATTTTTTCTGTGGTAATATTGCCATTCTTAAAGCTCCACCTAAAGCAGAGTATTCAGCCATATTTTAGCTGCTTAATTACTCTGTGTTTGCAACATGCTTAACATACAGGCTAACTACAATACTGACATATGAATGCATTCAGCCTCAGTGAAAATCTCTCAAACGTGTCTGTCTTCACTGAAGTATCAAAGCAGAGAGAGAACACATTCGTCTGGAGGAAGAGAGAAAGTTGGAGAGAGTTCGGCAGCTTGCAGATGCCAGACAGAAGCTGGAGGAGAGAGAGCTGCTAATTTTGGAACGTCTGAAGCTCGAGGAGGAGGAGAGAGTTGTGGAGCTGCAGAGGAGAAAAAAAGAGGATAAAGGGAAAGTAGCTGGAAGGTAATTAAAGAAGATTAATTTGCCAAAGCTTAAATATGTAGTTACTGCAGTTACGCATGTGCAAAATATGATCAGACAGAATGTAACAATGCAGAAATCATTATAGTATTAAAATATTATTACTGATATTAATTTTGATTTGTAATATCTCTCTGAAAAATGCTATGTAAAGCGCTTTACAGTGCTGTAAGGGTGGTTTAGGATATGATCTGTTTGGGTCGGTTTGTTTGGGCTGGTGTGAAAGCTAACAATTGAACTCTACTGTTCAACTTTATAACTTTACCAAGATTGTCTGAGAATATGGGTCTTGGGTATGGGTTGGCTTCCCGATAGACTCTGATACAGTCTGTGGTGTGAGAAAAAAACAGTCCAACCACAGGATGTGATTTTAGCATGAATTTGAAAGCTAAACTACTATTAAATTAATTTTCTGGCCACAAACTTAAGGAAGCAATCTCTAGATCTGTATGCTATACAGGATTAGTGACCATGATAACGCATATGTCAGCATGATTGGGGGATTTTCCCTGATACATCACGCAGTAAAATCCAACTTGTGATGAGGTTGTGTCCTACTGCTTGTATTGCACTAGATCCTCAATAAAAGGTGAGTGGAAAGAGTAAAATGTAGCAACAACATAGTAACTATCCCATTAGTATTAAGGTACAAAATACCCCTTTGTCCTGTTTATATGCCCTTGTAACTATTTATATTCAATATGATATATTATTACATGTTGTAGTCTTGCAGATTAATAAAGCTAATAATCTTGGTCAGCTCTTTGTTAGCACAAGAGAAGAAAAATACACTCATAAGGTTCAGTAAAATGCAACTGGACCAAACTACATGCACACCCTTATAAAACAGTTTAGCAGTGCTTCATGAAGCTGAAGTAGCTGTGATAAACAGGCTAATTTTAACTCCCGGCAGGTTCATTGAGGCTCTGAGAGCTCAGATGAAGGAGCGGCTGTCTCAGGAGAAACTGGAGCTTCCCCCTCTCTGCTGCTGTGCGTCCTCATTCTGGGACTCCCACCCCGACACCTGTGCTAACAACTGTGTCTTCCACAACAATCCCAAAGGTACTGCACACACTGTCACACAGCCTCACTCTCTACACACTTAGCTTTAGTGGAACTATACATGAAAACATTTAAAAACACTTCAGAGTCACATTTGTCTCTTCCACAGCATATGCCCAAGCGTTACATTCAACAATGCTGAGTTTGGATTTACGGTAAAGGAACTGCAGCGGAAATTGCCTGGAAGAAACATACTCCTTGCTGTCTGTTTAAAGTCCAACATTTTGGGAAATACAGTGTAAGTTATCAAGCCTAGAGTCAGACGAGAGGATGGATATCAGTATGATCTCTCAGTACGATCTCTAAGAGGTCCAGGTAGTGTTCAGCCTCCAGATTGAAATATGAAAAATATTTGATGGACTGCCATGAAATTTTGAAGAGGACATTCCTTTTTTCCACAAGTTGAATCCAAATGAGTTTGTTGATCCATTGAGTTCTCATTTTGTAATAATACCAGCAGGCTCAAATGTTCACTTATTTTGTGATTAGGAATTTGTCATTAGGTCGTTATTTCTCTTTGCACAAAGCTAATCACACGAATCAGAATAGGCCGTTTTGATACTGTTTGACTTTGTTTAACATATATATTCTATTTTATACCTCCTCACATGATGACAAGTTATTTGATATTGATATTGATAATTAACGGATTTGATTGTTAGCATACTAACTACATTCAATTAGTGAAGTCAAGTTTACATGATTAGTAAAACATCAGGGATGTGTTCACATGTGTGAACTTGAGAATGTGCATTGGATTTGCTGTTTATTGTGTGGAAGTTATAATTTGTTGTGGGTCATGTTAATTTAAAAAATAAAATCAATTCTGTTATCTCTTTGCTGCTGGTATCCAAATGTTGAATGTTAAATTATCATTGTATTTAGTTTTATAAGCCACCATATTATACAGTAATATCTTCCTGTAGGAGATAAATTATTATTATTTTATATAATTACATTTGTTTTCTAAATGGTTATAGTCATTTGAATTTGCATCATTTTTGATGCCGTCTCTAGTGCCATATGCTACGTTGTGATTACATAGTTGTATAGTGATTTTTGTACTCTGACTATATTTCGGCATCTTAAATGTATTTTCAGAGTGTCAATTGTTTGTCATTTCAAGTCTGTTAAAATGTAATGGTTATGGGTTGAAACAGTCGATTATCTAGTTATTACACTATTGGATGAATTGACACCCATCACAGTGAACATCAGGTCTGCTATAATTATGGTAATTTACTACTGTGTAGAAATGTGATTGGCAGTCTGTACTTACTAACATATTTCTGATAAAACTAAAAGCACAGATGATATTCATTGTGATAAAATTAACAAAAAAACATCTTTAGCCTGGAACAAAAAAAAATCCAGAACTCCAAAGACATTACAAAAACATTACAGTATGCTTTGGGATATGATAGCGGTACTGTAAACTGTACATCACTTGCAGTAAATAGGCTTAAACCCAGTCAAGAGTTGCAGTGGTGGAATGTACCTAAATACATTTACCCAAGGGCTGTACTTAAGTATAGTTTTGAGCTACTTGTACTTAACTAGAGTAAGTTTTTATATATAAGATGTTTCCCATTTATATCAATGAGGTCAGGCTAAATAACAGAGGCACAGTATTACACAGTACAGTTCAAAAGCACCACAAGTATTATGATTTGTTTATAATGGCTGTAAGACGTGTGACACAGTGGCTCAAACTCTATTCTAAAATGTGTGGCTACCTGGCCCTGGCAGATCATACCCCTTAAGAATTAATGTTAGTACTTTGTCTTTTTAATAATAATATTGTTAAATTAATATTTTTATTTTTCAATAACTCCCATGTCATGTGACCGATTGGTTCAAAGTCAATACATCACAAGATTTGGACGCTGTTGTTTCTATTAAAGTATTATTAATAAATAGACAGTACTAATATCTAACATTTTGGAAAAGATTTTGAACCAGTGGGTCACATAACATTGGAAGCTATTGAAAACAGATTATAACATTTCTGTTAAAATGTTATTAATAATTAAACAAAGAACTAATATTCAATATGAAGAGCTGAGCCATCTGTGGGCCATGTAGCCACACATCTCAGAATAGACTTTGAACCAATAGGTCACATGGCTTGGAAGCTGTTGTAAAAAAAAAAAATCATATTCATGAAAAATATATAGGAATTGCATTTAAAAACATGCTTTTAATAAATAAATGACTAATATCCAATTTTAAGCAGTCTGAGCTAAATTGAAATGACTTTTTATATTGAGTCTGATGCAAGTCAGTGTGTAGGTGTTGAAAATGTACCTATGTGAGATTTTAGTCATTAATTTAGACATTTACAGATGGTCCCTAAATGAATGTTATCAGGGAGGGGTAGCTGAGCTCTGGTGGCCTTATTCAGACTGTGACCACCGGTTGTCTGTAGGTTTGTTGGGCTTAAAGTCTGTTGAATATACATCTTTACCGCGGTGCTCCAGACTTTAGCTGTTTCCGGTACGGCGTTACGTCGGAGGGGTGGGTCACATGGCCAGTGGGAGCCTCTGTCTGGAAAATCGTATGGAATAAACACGTTTCGTCTAATAATAAGTATTATTTTCTATTCATAACGGACGCCCTTTAGGCAGGACGCGTATTGCAGATGTACGGAGGTAGGCTGGCTCTCCTGAGCGGTACATATAAACTCAGCCTCCCAGTATGGAGAACTGCTGGATGTTTACGGACTGTATATCTCACCACGAAGCTAAACGGCTGCTGCTTTATTCTTCCAGCACCTAGCGTCTACTGTGGCTTCATTTATCAAACATAAAGGTCCATATTCACTCGTTACTACTAAATAAGTAAGCGTCTCTTTTTCTCCCGGGCTAGCCAGGTCTGTGTGACCCGGTTTCTGCTGTTACAAGCCGTTTATAATAACAAGCCGGTTATCTTCTCCTGTGGTTAGTTAGCTACAAGCATTCCTGCAGTGCCTTAACTGTCTCATACTTGGACATGCGTGGAACCAAACTGTGAGCGCTTCTGTGTTAAGTTTGACAGCAGGCTGTTTGTTGCAAGTTCTGAACGAAAATGAAATCGGCTCTGGCTCCCGGCATACGACTTATCACATCGTTTTCTCGAGATAGTTGGTAAGTTTTCATTATCTTCCATTCCTATTGTTCCCTACACTTCCAAGCAGCTAGTTAATGGCACCCTCATTACAGCCGTTGGGGTTAAGAGAGCAGCTGGTGTATGTCTGTTAAGTTATCTCCCTGCTGTAAATGATTGTCTGAAGCACATCGATTAACACACATTCTGCCGATTTGTAATTCGACAGATAAATCCAGTGGGTTCATTTTATTGGTACCTAGATTTCTATATTTCAGCTGCTTGTTTTCGCTGAGCTGTATGTTCAACTATCTTCTGCTGTGAGAATCAACTGCCACGCCAAACTCCCTTTAAAAAAATGTCATTACAGAGCTTCCTCTTTATCGGCACAGATTTGATCTTTAACGAATCGATGCGGTCGACGACAAATTCAGCATTTAAGGCATTTGGCAAGACATGGGGCACTTCATTTTAATAACAACTTGTCACTTCACAGTACTAGCAGTGAAGTAGCCATAGGTGGGGAAAAAACGGGATAATTGAGTCGCAGTTTGGTAAATATTCACACACATTTTATATTAGGCACAACAAAACACCGATGATCCCACAGTTGAGAAAAAGAGAGGCCATTCCCACCAGGAAAAAAGAAACAAATGAATGAGAAATTATAACTTGTAACTATGACTTATCAGATAGTTTGACTATTACTGCAACTAATAGTTTTTTTTTATTATAAGGTAATCTGCCTAATTTTTTTGTTCAATTAAATGATTAATCGTTTGGTTTACAAAGCATCAGAAAACAAAAAAAAAGTTTTTTTCTTTATTCTTTTTTTTTTTTTACCCGCACCCCAATTACACATTGATACACTTGTTATTCCTTCAATAGTCTGTACTAGTCCAGCAGTCTGTTTGTTTTAAAGTATTTTCAGTACCTTTATATTTTTGTATACTTCATAGTAATGAATAGGTTGTGTTAATTGAAACACTTTCTCACAGTGCCATGCTGTGTCTTGAGTCTATGTGATAAAAAGCACAATGAAGAGCCAGAGAAAGCTGACAGTGTGGAGTCATTACACTTGGATGTGATCTATCACTCTGATCTATCACTGTTGGGAACACCACGTAAAATGAAATACAAACCAATAAGTCATATCTTTGATAATATCATTATATATTACATTATTAAATTGTTAATACTGATGCAACAATGCTTAAGTAGTATTTTTCCACTGTGATTGGTGAAAATGGATCTAGTTTTAATGACTTGAGGCCCCCTCAAGTGTCACAGATAAATCTAAGGATTCCTGAGATGATTGGTGGAAGAGGAAAATATGAAAAGCACAACATTTCCCTCTTAAATGCAGTGTAGTATAAGTGTAAAGCCATAATAAAATGGAAATACTCAAGTACGCAAGTATGTAAGACAGCAAACCTTCATGTTATTTCTTTGTCTGTTTTCACAATGTACAAAAAAATGTCAATAGCCAGTATTAAAATTGGTTATAAATACAGTATTATTAATTAAGTAATAAATTAATTATAGATACCTATTTATGGTAGTGCAATTTTTCCACCAAATCTTTATTTCAATCTCTCTTTTGCAGGTATCGCAGTTTCATTCTTTTCCTCACCTTCCTCTTCTACACAGCCTACCATCTGTCACGGAAACCTATCAGCATTGTTAAGGTAACTGGGACAATTCAGTTCCTTTTTATCTGCAGTTTTCACAGGATTTTTGCAAGAACATGAAGTGTGGGTCGAAAATGGCAAAAATGTCCATCTTCTCCTCTCCCCTAATAATAGGTGTTATCCTTTAACAGTACACTTTGTTAACAGCAGACTCAAATTATTTGCAGTTAAAGTGGGCATATCTAGTCTCATCAGAGGCAATGAAATACACAATTTGTATTTTGGAAAAAGACACATCCTCAACAACTGATTTTATGACAACAAAATGTAGCACTTTCTATTATTTATATGTAGCCTATCTCTTATTGTTTTGTTTGTATTGTTTCATCTGCTTTCTTCGATGTGTTTCTTTATGATATTCAGAGTGAGCTGCACAGAAACTGCTCCACAGTCATTCGACCAGCAGACCTTAACGTAACCAACAATGCTACCTGGTGTGACTGGGCGCCCTTTGGTAAGTCCTTTTCTTGTTGTCATCTATAGTCAACTTCAATATTTAACTGACTTCACTGATGTGTGTTACATGAGAACAGATCTGGGATTTGTTTGGTAATAAAAACAGGTGAATGGAAATAAAATTCCCATATATAGTAATATAGTATACATCAGGAAATAGAGTAGAAAAGACTCTGGTGTGCTTGTCAAGTAGCCAAGTAAATACCAGTAGATTTCACACTGGAAAAGTGACAAAATCAAATATACTCAAAGAAGTAAGCATGAAGACCTTGATGTTTGAGAATGCTGTCATGGACACTATTCTCCTGTAATGCAATGTGTCCTCTAGGCAAGATTTAAATTAAGTGTGGATGGTGGAGAAACACTTCAGAAAACAAACAAATGAAAAACAAAACAGTTTTAAATCATTAGAAAAAAATTGTTGTTTACTGCCAATTTAACACTGACAAGTTTAGTTGTCAGTGGTCGTCAAAAGTCACAGTTTGGCTGAGATCTAAAGTACCAGTATGAAATATTTAAGTACACTGTTTCTGTGTATACTAGCTGCAAAGGCGGAATAC